CTCTGTCTTTCTGTTATATCTTTATTACGGTCATAGATCAGCATATGACCTAGATCAGTGGTGGCGAACCCATGGCACGGGTGCCAGAGGTGGCACTCAGAGCCCTCTCTGTGGGCACGCGCACCATGCCCCGGAGATGGCAACCGTCCCTCTTCAACCAGCCGCCCGCTAACTCGTTGAGGTCCCACATGGCGGATGCATCCCAGCATGGCTGGTTTCCCTCCCCCCCGTCCCATCCCTCCTGGCCTTGTATGCTCTCCTTTTCCCGGGCACGACCCACTGCATCGCCTCTTCAGCTGTCGGCCGGCTGTCCAGCTCAGAGACGGCTTCTTTGAACTGCTGGAGGTGGGCTGCAGAACCCCAGAGTGCGCTGGTCGAGGGGCCGGCAGGCTGTGGCTGCTGACGGACACTGTCAGCCCCCATGCGCTCGCTGGCCTCTGTGTGTGGGGGCCGATGGTGTTAGACAGCAGCCGCCCTGGCCTCTGCCTCGCCTTGCCCTGTGACAATGGCACCCCCGCCCTGCCTCGCCTCACACCACAGGACGAGCCTCCTGCCCACCACCCTACCTGCCAGAGACCCCCCAGATCTCCCCCAACCCTGCTCGGCCCCCACAGGCATCCCTCCCCACGAGTAACATTGAGGTGACCACGCCCACCTTGGCCACACCCACCCAGTCTGCCATGACCACCACAGCCACGCCCACCCAGTGGGCCACGCCCACCTGGCACCCGGTGATAAATAAGTGGGTTTTGGGTTGCAGTTTGGGCACTCAGTCTCTAAAAGGTTCGCCATCACTGTCCTAGATTAATCATTGGGGTCAGTCACATTGCAGTGCAAACCAAAAAGTACAAGCCGTTATTATTCTGTTAACAGGCCATTCCGAACAACCATAATTAATAATTTAATAATGCTAAATTAGGCAGCAGAGGAGAGCACAATTTGCTTTTCCATTTCATGCCTATGTGGGTCCAATCAATTCTCTTGCTCTGTTCAAACTTGGCAGCTTCTCCCATGATGGAGAATGACAACACTCAAGCTATTTTCAGCGGGCACATAGGAAATGTATTGCAAAACCTCTTGAAAAGACTCTACACACACTGTCCCGAGACACAATGCCCTCCATTAAACTGAGTGGAACAGACATGAATAGATTCAGGGCTATTTTTGTGAATCCAGTACATTTTAAAATACTCCACCATTCCAAAAATTTTGAATTTTAGTAAGTTGAGTGACCTTGGGTCTACAAAGAGCAAATTCCATCTGATTTTTTTTTATTACTATGTGCAGATAAAAGAAGAAAAATGATGGCGGAAGATGTCAGGAATTGGGCCAAAGGGATGTTTTTCTGCTAAATTGTCCCTTACTACAAGTATACCAAAACGTATTATGCATTCAAGTACTTCGTGAAAAACATATTGGGGCTCCTCATAATTCTCAGTCACAGAAGCTCCATAGGGGTCTTTGTTCCTCTCTCAGTCCAGCCTACCTTGCAAGGCTGTTGGTACACCAGGACTGGGAAGACCTATATTCAAGTCCTCCCTGGGTGGCTTAAGATTATTCCCCCCCCCAGCTCAACCTACCTCACTGGGTTGTGGTTGGATTCAGGCTAGTGCAGGGATAGGCAACCTTGGCTCTTTTATGACTTGTGGACTTCAACTCCCAGAATTCCTGAGCCAGCCACACTGAGGGGAAAGGGAGAGGTTTCCAAGCTGAGCCATGCTGGCTCAGGAATTCTGGGAGTTGAAGTCCACGAGTCATAAAAGAGCCAAGGTTGCCTACCCCTGGTCTAGTCTGTCAAAGAGAAGGATTAGAGGCTGACAGGATAACTGTCTTCCAGTATTTGATTGGCTGTCACAGAGAAGAGGAGATTGGCTTATTCTCTATAGCAGAGGTCTTCAACTTGGCCCTTTATGACTGGTGGACTTCAACTCCCAGAATTCCTGAGCCAGCATGGCTCAGCTTGGAAACCTCTCCCTCTCCCCTCAGCATGGCTGGCTCAGGAATTCTGGGAGTTGAAGTCCACGAGTCATAAAAGAGCCAAGGTTGCCTACCCCTGGACTAGGGGTAACAAATTCCAGCCAAAGAAGCTTCCTGGGTCACATAGGAGTAGTATCCTCCCTCAGTCCAGCCTACCTTGCAGGGGTGTGGTTGGATTTAGATGGGAGGACCCTGATTTCAGTCACAAAAGTGCTTTTGAGGGACTCTAGGCCGCACCTTCCTCTCAGTCGAGGGTTGTGGCTGGATTTCGAGTCCCCCCTCAGTCACAACCACCCCCGAGACTTAAGACCCTCCTCCCCTGCAGCCGAGCCTACCTCGCAGGGTTGTGGCTGGATTTCGAGTCCCCCCTCAGTCACAACCCCGCTCTCCCCGGAAGCTTAAGCCAGGGGTTTTCAAACTTGGCCCTTTTATGACTTGTGGACTTCAACTCCCAGAATTCCTCAGCCAGCCTCCATTTTGTTTGTTAGATTTAAGACAGGGGTCTTCAAACGTGGCCCTTTTATGACTTGTGGACTTCAACTCCCAGAATTCCTCAGCCAGCTTGGCTGGCTGAGGAATTCTGGGAGTTGAAGTCCACAAGTCATAAAAGGGCCAATGAAGACCCC